TTTCTTGGACTAAGTTTTCAGTTCTTCCAGTATTGGAGATAATGCGTGAGTAGTTTGTAGCCTAATAATTTAGCAATTTATTAAAGTTAGAATATTTTCAATAATTTGCTTATTTACTGTGCACTGAATGAAAAGAGAATAGAAATTTAGAATGCGTGTGCTCAACCTAATAGAAACTGTCATAGGACACGAATCATCTATTAAAAAGAATGAACACCCGTGCTACTTTGCCCAAAATATTTTCTAAATCAGAGCAGTAACTTTCGAACTACTGCAAATTTTATAGCGACACTCAAGGTCGCGCGCATTCAAATGGTGATAGAAATGAACTAAGAACGTAGATGTTGGAGATAAAGTCAGGAATAAATACACTGTACCCATAACCATCTATATATAAGTATGCTATTGCAGGCTGAAATGGGTTTTCAAAATGAGGGTGATGTTGCACGAGTTTGGTCAACACCTGTACATCGCTAAACAGCAAGTCCTCGTGACTATGAATTTATAAACAGGGAAACTCTTGTTATGAGCTGAAACTTAAGTATTTTGGGAAAACAAATGGAATTTCGTCTACATTAACAACGAAAAGAAATTTGATTCAGACGGAAAGGACGCGCACAACAACCACTGGCGTGATCTCCGGAAGAAGCGGTGTGGGAGTCCATCAAGCGGATAGATGACCGGATATCTGTGATGTATAGGGGTGTCTTCTCTGGTAACAGCACAACCAAACTCCCTATATTGTCATATATGGTTGTACACTATAACAGCACCTTGTGCCAACAATAGCATCGAACGGTCATACGAAAGTCATTTTCCAGCACGATATTGGAGCAGTTCATAAATCGTATCTAACAAAGTGCATGTTATAATTTCGTGGCATCGAAACAATGGTGTCCTCTGCCTGCAGCTCAGATTTGAATACGATAGAGCATTCGTCTCTCACCAAAGGTCGTTGCCAAATAGCACTGTATACAGCTTTCCTGTAAATAAAGTGCGGATTCTGAGGCCTCGTCAATCTCTCCATTTGAGGCTTTCAACGTGAGGACTCTTATGCAGGTGGGTCAACAGGCGTGTTTTGCGCGTACAATGAAGTCTCTAGAAATCTATGTCCGTTGCGTATCGGAGACACGAATTCAGGATCCTAGTATTATGAGCCATCTAAGTGCGCCGGGTCTGTCCTCGAGGTATTTCCTTCGTATATCAGGAGACGACGAAGCCCGCTCTTTGGGTCAGCGAGGTGTAGGAATCGTACTAAGCGGTAAAGCTGAAACCCCATTGATAGCCTGGATACTCATCAATAGTCGTTTGTGCGCAATGAGGATCCAGAGTTCAGTTAGTGTTCGGAAGGGCAGCAACATCAAAAGGTGTTTGTTTATCATATCGGTATGTGCACCAACCAATTGCAGGCCAAATTCACAAAAGGACGAAGGTTACGACAAAATAACCGAGCGCATCCGATTAAGCCGTTGCTTTGATGTTACAGTGATGACAGGTGATTTCAACGCATGAGTTAGAAAACTGAGCGAATCCAAAGCCTGTCAATGTGGGGGAGGGGCGCTTCGCTCTTTTCGCCAGACAAATAGACAAAGGTGATCGACTAATTCAGTGCTGCGCAGATCACCCGCTATTCTGATCCAGTACCAACTTTCGAAACAGCTCTCGTCGAACGGTTAAATGATTTTCTAGTTCGGCGAAAGATCCCAATTTGTCAAGAATTACTTACGGTGAATTGTTTCTCGTATTCATGTAGTTGCTTGAAAAATGACGTTAGCACAGTCAAAGAAGTAACCACCCGCATTTCCAAGGCACGAGCAGCTTACGCAGGACTGAAACACATTTGGTGCATACGTGATGTTTCCTTGAAACTGAGAGGTCGTGTATATCGCGCTAGCGGGTGGTCAGTTCTGTTTTATGGTTCCGAGACTCGTAATTTGCACGGGGAAGATATTAGTCAACTAGAAGTTTCCGACTGTCATTGTTTACGTAGTTTGGCGCGAGTTTGACGGAGCTGGCATGTAAGCAACCCTGAGGTAATTCGTCGCGTATTTAGGTATGATTCGGTGGAGAATTCATTGTCCCTCCGAACTCAGATGAGTAGATTTTCCTGGTTACAACACGTATTGCACATGCCCAGCTGTCGTTCACCGCACCGCGCCTTATTCGCAGCTGCGGCTCCAGGTAGGAGGAAACCACGTGGAGGTCAACAGATGACGTGGAAGCAAGGCATGAAGAAATGCACAGAGTGATTAGGTAGAATAGGCGTCTCCAGTTTTCCAGAATGGTGTCCGAAAGATTCTGTAACTGGTTGGCTGGAGACAGAAGGATATGGCAGCGAACCGACAGTAACGGCGTTCTGGC